CTTTGGGCTGAATTCAATGAGATTGATAGATTTAGCTGATCTTTGAACTTTTGAAAATCTAATAATATTACCATAGTCTAATGCAGAAAAGAAAAAAATGTATCTGACAATTTAAATGACCCAGGATTTGCTGTGTCTTATAAATATATAACTCCCTGAGAGGATAGGATCACTGCCTTTATTACTACACGCATTCTCAATCCTAAGCCATGTCTACCTCCTCAACCATCTTTCTCATCACTTTCTGTGGCCGGGACAAACTGGACCTTGGTTTTGATGAGTGGAGAAGTCATGGAAAGACCTGTGTTCTCTGAGGAAACAGTCAACATTCTCATTCCTTTATAACTTTAGTAAAAAAGTACCATCACCTGCATATCTCCACATAGTTCATCAGATAGGATTTCATAATATATTATTTAGTTTATGTCTTACTCATTCTTGATAATACACTTGGGAATCACGGACTTTTGTTCCTTTTCCTGGGGGCAGCTCTCAGAGGTGAGTGGCTCAGACATTGAAACATGAAGGTTTGGGGATGCTTTGTCTGCGCACCTGGCTCACTGTCTCCAGGTGCAGCTACAAGGGTTGGATGAGGACTTGTAAAGTTCACAGATACTGTGACTCACTTGTCTCTAGATTCTCTGAAATCAGTCATGGATTGGTGTGCCATCGAGTGGTGAGAGCACAGACTATACTCCTACCCTGATGTCTTGAGTACACATCACCAGTGACCACTTTCATTGTCAAATTCATTTAACGCTGCCCTCCATCGCTGCCCAGGCCATTCCCTTGTACGTATCACAGTGAAACGAGGTGGGGAGAAATCAGTGTGATTCCAGGAGTCCAGATGAAGAAAGGGGTCTGAGCTGCACTGAGCTCCATTATCTTCTTTTCTGTGTATTCTTTGTTTTCCTTAAACAGGTTTTACATTATTTTCTAGAAGTATACTTTAACTTTTTGAACTTTAAAACTGCATGTTTAGAGATAATGACACACCTTCTAGAGTCAACAATAGGAACCGTTTTCCAAAATTAGACAATCCATCAGTTTAGGGAGTAAATGTAAGGTGAGATCCATGAACAGTTGTGATGGGGCTATATCCAGAGCACAAATGGAGAGGCTGTCTTTGGTTGGAGATGCTCACATTTCAATGGAACCAGAGTCCCCTGGGTAAGGGGCATTTACAAGAGTGTCTATGGTCATTCTCTAACTGTTGATGTTCATTTGGAAGGATGGATCTAATTTTGATGAAGAATGCCTTGTGGTTCTCAAGAAAATGTCTTTGGATTCAAAATCTAAAATATTGTACTTGATTCATTCTTACTCTGAGTCTTTTCTTAAACCCATTTACTGTTTTACTAAATATTTGTACTTGAAATCATGACGTCTCACTTTTCACTATTCTGGGTCTTCTTGTACACAAAGGAGGGAGGGTGTCTCTATTCAGAATCTTGCATCTTTCAGAGACTACAGAATTGAAATATTGTCTTGTCTGGGTCGCAATGTTTCTAGATTGTATCTTCCTTTTTTTTTAGGTTGTATCTTCTTACTTGAGACTCTATGACACTTTAATCTCTTTACTTAACACGGAGGTCGACCTCAGTCATCAAGCTCTGGGATGTAGGGTGTGTATTGCTTATAAGAGCAGCGGGGTTGGGGATGACCATGGCCCCAGGTCAGAAAAATCCTGGCTGAATAAGATTAGTAAGAGGACAGTGCCTGCTGGAAACATTCTGCCACAGACTTCAATTATAAATTAGATTTCCCGCTTATTTCTAGGTGTGATAATGCAGCTAGAGCTTCTAAAGGCAGCCATGGGTTGGGAATGCTTTCTCATAGTGCTGTAGCTAACTTTCAGGTCTGCAGGGATCAGGTTTCTAGATCTATCAGGCTCTGGGAGACAAAACCTGTATTATTTGATCAAAAAACCCCTAGTGATGACAGTCAGAGGGTCAACCCAGCCTTCACATATCAAGGCACTGCACCATCATCGCTCAACCAGCTGAGTGTGTTTTAACTGAACCATCTGAAACCTGAGGACACAGGCATGTATTATGTAGGGAAAGTACCAGGAGACACAGTGACTGGGAAGTAGTCAAAGATCTCAAGTGTCAGGAGACTAATCGGGCAGCAGAGGGAGCACAGGGCACACGGGAGAGTGTTTGTGACAGGATCAGATGCAGGGGATGATGAGTTATTTTCTACTCCTGTGTCCAGACTTTCCCAAGTCGCCCAAGTCAAGCACCTCTCCAGGGACTCCTCAGCAACTACAGTTCTCACGTCTTTTATTTTCCTGCAGGGAAGATCCTGACAATGAAAAGCCCTGGTTCTTCCTGAGAAACAGGGGAGAAAAATCAAAAACAAACTTGGGATAAGTTGAAGTCCAATCTCAGAAAGACCAGTGGTCTCTCTATACTGTTAAATTCTGATCTCCGTGTAGTGTTTCAACACATTCAGTTTCTCTCCATCCTTACTATTTTTTCCTAAATAAAAGTAAGTTGAAACTGTATGTGTGTGCACCCCAGCCCAAATATTTCCAGTGAAGAGAAAAACAAACAAAACATTTTTGAGCATTCCTGAAATAATTGATAGTTGTATACCATTTTGAAAGTTGGAGAAACTAAAGCTTTGAGATTCTTAATAAAGCATCAAAGTACCTCATGGTTATTAGGAAGCACATCATGTTATGAACCATAGTAACCAGATTCTGAAAACAGAATCACCTGCTCAAACATGGGAGACTTCCTTTGAGTTTATGGAAGAAGCCCCAGAAACTTCCCAATGTGTTATGCACATTCACAAACAGCATTGGCTTCTCTAAAGATTTTAGAGAGCTTCAGCATCTATAGAACTTCTAAGGTTAATTCAGTATCTTCAACTGCTTGGTGCGCAGAGGTCTTGTGGAGGAAAAGTAGCTTGAGTCAAGGCACAATGTACTTGCAGGGAATGAGCGATTTTGGGAAACACTGTCATGGTCTAGCTCAAGGGCATAATCAAGGGCAGGTCCAGAGGAGCCTGGGGAGGGTTTTCCTTTTAACATTTGAATTTCCTTTTCTAAAAGATAATTTAAAACAAAATCAGACAAGGGAGGCTTGTGTCAGATTAAATACATATTTCTACGGGGAATATTTAACTGCATCAATATAATAATGAGTACCACACTTAAGGGGTGGGGAGGAGGGGGGCACATTTCTATGAAGTGTCTCGACGTGTATGTTGACATTTCCATTAAGTCAATTCTTTCTCGTAACAATACTATAGGACGGAGTAGGACTTCCCTTGTAGGTTTCTGAGAATGTAAACCTTCGGGTGAGTGGAGAGCATTGTCTTTCTCCTGTAGAACCACTGGCAATTTAGAACGACTCACCTTGAGTTTAGTAGCCCACAGTGTAATTGACTCCCCCCACA